CCTCTGGCCTGCATTCACGCAAGTCCAGGGGTCTGTGTGGTGACTCCGCGCCTCTTGCCCCCACCGCGCTCTTCCTCTCAGAACAAATCCATGGCAACGTGTAATGTTTTAGAAATTTTTTTATGAGGTTAAGATGGTTGTTAGTCTTGTTCACATTTTCTGTATTTTAATGTATAGCTCTTCTAGAACGCATATAGTTGGCTCTTGCTTTTTTAAAAATATATTGTGAAGTTCACTTTGAATTGGAATCTTTAGTCCAGTTGTCTTGATTTTCTTTTATTCAAAAATGTCTTTATTTTGCCTTCATTTTTAAAAGTATGTTTTTCATAAATATAGCGTCCTCTGTTGATTTTTCTCTGTTCCTTTACTGCTTTAAAATTTTCATTTCACTGGCCTCTGTTCTTTTTCTGACAAAAAGTCAGCTGATATTTGTATCCTTACTTCCTTTTATGCAGCCTGGTTTTTTTCTCTTGCTGTCTAGAAGATTTTTCCCTTTTTCTTTGGTTTTTAACAGGTTAGCCTTATTGTACCTGGCTTTGCCTTTCTTTGATCTTATCATATTTGGAATTTGCTGAACTCTTGAATTCAGATGTGTGGTGGTGTTTGCATGTCTTTATTTTTTATCTTTCTTTTCTCCGACAGCGCAGAGTGGACAGTGAGAGAGAGAGACAGAGAGAAAGGTCTTCCTTTGCCGGTGAGTCACCCTACAATGGGCGCTCCGGTCGGCGCCCTGCGCTGATCCGATGGCAGGAGCCAGGTACTTAATTCTGGTCTCTCATGGGGGTGCAGGGCTCCAAGTACTAGGGTCATCCTCCACTGGCACTTCCTGGCACAGCAGAGAGCTGGCCTGGAAGAGGGGCAACCGGGACAGACTCCGGTGCCCCAACTGGGACTAGAACCCGGTGTGCCGGCACCGCAAGGCGGAGGATTAGCCTAGTGAGCCACGGCGCCGGCCAGATGTGCTTTTTAATTTTTGAATTCACCCTGTTTTTAAGTTGGATTTCTCAGACCAGCTATTCCCCCTAAACTGTCTAGCATAAATCATTAGTGAGAATCAGCAGTTAACTAATGAATATCAAGTATAAGAGAAAATACTACAATGTATCTCAATAAAAATACTGTTTCATGAGATTTTTAAGGTTATATGTGTCCTGAGTCATAAAATATATTTCTTTTTCTTTAGGATCCACGTACAGTGCCTGTTACATTGGAACACTCAAAAAAATTTTTTTGAATATTTCTTTTCATCTACTTAAAAGGCAGAGAGAGCAAGCAAGAGAGATATCTGCTGGTTCACTTCCACAACAGCCAATGCTTGGCCAAGCCACATATGTGAACCAGAACTCCATCTGGGTCTCCCACAGGGGTGGCAGGGCCCAAGCACTTGAGCTGTCACCTGGTGCTTCCCTGGATGCATTAGCAGGAAGCTGAATTGGAAACAGAGGTACCAGCACTCACACTGGCACTGTGGTATACAACATCCAAGTGGTGCTTTAACCTGCTGCGCCCCATTTTTTTTTTTTTTTAGATTTTTTTTATTTATCTATTTGACAGGTAGAGTTTACAGACAGTGAGAGAGAGAGAGAAGAGAGAGAGAGACAGAGAGAAAGATCTTCCTTCCGTTGGTTCACTCTCCAAATGGTCGCAACAGCTGGAACTGCTGTGCCAATCTGAAGCCAGGAGCTAGAAGTTTCTTCCTGGTTTCCCATGCGGGTGCCGGGGCACCAGCACTTGGGCCATCCTCCACTGCCTTCCCAGGCCACAGCAGACAGCTGGACTGGAAGAGGAGCAACCGAGAATAGAAACCGGTGCCCATATGGGATGCCAATGCTGCAGGTGGAGGATTAACCTAGTGAGCCACGGCACTGGCCCCTGTGCCCCGTATTTATCCACACCAAAACACCTGTCCCTGTAAAATATATTTCTTAACTGTGGTCGTGTTCAAATTTGAAAACCATGGAATAGATTGTCCATGATCATAGCCTTCCCTAGGGCAGCATTGGAGTGTTCTAGATAACTAAAAAACGTTACATCGGTTTCAGTATATTCTTCCTGAATCAGCCTTTTTATCATCACTTTTGTTCAGTGAGCTGGGAAATAGATCTTCAGTATCTGCTTACACACTTACCTTCAGCTCCACCTGTGACTGTATAGTGTTCTACCTACTTAGTCCCTTTGCTCTTCTTGTTTTAATTCCCTGGTTTACCAAAAGGTTGTTGTTCTTCTAGCCGAGAAACTATTCCTTTGACTGTTAACACTCAGTTTTGTCACAATGGTATCGATGCCTCTCATTGGGAGACCATTAGCCAAACAAACAAAAAAAGTAATAAAGTATATTTTCCTATATTTACTACTAAATTGAGGACAAGCTAGCACATAGAACATGGTCATCTTTCCCTTAAGCACTAAGCTTCTAGAAGACAAACTATATTTTAAATACTCTAAAGATTTACCTTTAAAGCATTTCTTTAAAATTGAAAAGAATGTTAATGAAGAGCTAAAATGTAATATCTCTTCAAACATTGTATTTATGTGTTGTCTGCCACTAATACATAAATAATGTTAAAAGATGACCAGGGAGGTAAAACATTGTTTAGTAGTTTAATATTTTAGAGTACTACCTTGGGAATCAAGTACCTGGCCAAGATTCTTGTGTTCTTCTCAGTGTGACCTTGGGCAAGTTATTCGACCTAAGACTCAGTTTCCTCATCAGTAAAATAAGGAGTGGTATCACTTTCTCATGGAATGATTATGAGGATTAAATTGTATAATGCATGCAAAACACTTAGAATGACACTGAATATTCCTTTTTGTTATTGACCTTCCTTTGCTGACAGTCGGATTCTAGATCTCTCTTATCCTTAAGAATATTACCATATTATACTTCTGTATAGTGCTTGTTTCAGCAACACATATACTAAAGTTGGAGCAATACCTCTATCTATTATTCTGTACTCATGATGCTATTTTGTAAGTGCTTGTTTACATATTCAGCTTTAACGGTCTTGAGAGTAAAGTCCTTGCTTTATTTATGTACTTTAAAAAAAAAAAGATTTAATTGAAAGGCAGAGTGATAGAGGGAGAAAGAAAAAGATCTTCCATCCACTGGTTCTCTCCCCAAATGCCACAATGGCTAGGCTGGCTGATACAGGCAGAAGCCAGGAGTCTAGAACTCCATTCAGGTCTCCCGTACGGATGATAGGGACGCAAGTACATAGGCTGTCCTGTTCTGCCTTCCCAGGTACATTAGCAGGAAGCAGAGCATCTGGGACTCAATTCTGGTCTCTGATATAGGATGCCGCATTGCAAGCAGCAGCCTAGCTCATTGTGCCACAGTGCCAGCCCTTCTTAATTACAGATGTCACAGTTATTGTCAGTCTTGTCATTGCACTACAAAGAACAAATGTCAACACTTCAGGACTGGCTCCATTAAAAATTAAGGGATATGAATCAAAAGAGTAAAAGAAGGAGAATTACAGTGAGTTAACAATAAGCAAACTTCGTTGTTTGTTTTATTTTACAAAGCAGCTTTTGCCATAATGAAAATAACCCTTCCACAGGACCGTGTCTGTTTATTCTGCAGTACTATCTGGGCAGTACCTGCAGTGTACAGGTATAGGAAGATACAAAGATGATTTGTTGACTCGAGAACATTTGTGTAAATTATGGCTCCTCTTCAATTGGCTGTTGCAGTATGAAGACTTAGGATATAAACTGATACTTGAGTAAATGTATCATCAGAATTTTGACATTCATTAGAGGGTATCCAGAAGAGCAGAGTTTTGATATGAGATGTGCCACCATTGGCCTCAAACTGACTGTGATGTGGTTCTTTTGTTTTTTTCTTCCATACCCTGTCCAGGTTCTCAAGTAACTTTCTAGGTGTTCTATGGAGAATGGAAATCTTTAATATATCCATATGTGTTACAACGCAGGGAAGATGATATTGAGTTGTTCTCTCTATTTTTTTTTTTTTTTTAGATTTATTTATTTATTCGAAAGAGTTACACAGAGAGAGGAGAGGCAGAGAAAGGTCTTCCATCCGATGGTTCATTCCCCAGGTGGCTGCAACAGCCGGAACTGTGCCGATCCAAAGCCAGGAGCCAGGAGCTTCTTCCAGGTCTCCCAGGAGAGTGCAGGGGCCCAAGGGCTTCTACTGCTTTCCCAGGCCACAGAGAGTTGGATTAGAAATGGAGCAGCCGGTACTAGAACCGGTGCCCATATGGGATGCTGGTGTTTCAAGCCAGGGCGTTAACCTGCTGCGCCACAGCGCCGGCAACATTCTCTCTATTCAAAACAGACTTCAGGCCAAAAACCATCAAACAAAATAACTTTATGAAAGTGGCACCAGAAGGAGGAAAGGACTGGAAGAGATTTTTCATTGAACAAAGAGCAGAAACAGTATCAGCTCAGAAGACTTACAGAACCCAGACTGAAAAATATTAGAGACTAAGTAAATGCTTACATCTTTAAATTAGCGGGAGGAATGAAAAACTGCTTGATCATATGTGTGTCTTAGTGATGGGGAAACATTTTAGCTTTAAGCTTTAAAATGGGATTTTTAAATAGAGGAAATAATAAAATCCTGGTATATGGAACTGACAAAGCTTTTAGGTGTAAAAACAGCCTAATTAATTTGATCAGGGGAAACTTTTAACTGAAAAAAAAAATTTTGACTTACGAGTCTTAATGTCATTTAGGTGAATATTTGAGACCCACCTCCACAAAATCTAATATAAATGACCAAGTTTTCCTGTGTTTTCTTCTTACCAGTCTCTCATACTGTCTTACATTACGAAAACTAGAGATCATCACAAATACTCATAGATTACCTCACCAAAGACAAGCAGCCTTGGCATCATAAAGTTTCAGTATTTTAGCAGTCTAATAGCAGATATACAGGAAATGATTTGAATTAACAAGCCAATTAATATTGTTGAAAACATATAATTGTAGTTTGAAGCATTATTAAATGTTTATGGTTTGCTTTCTTTTTGTAGAACACAAAGTAATTATAGTGGGACTGGATAATGCAGGGAAAACCACCATTCTTTATCAATTGTAAGTATGGGTGTTTATTTAACAGTTTTTATTATTTCACTTATTGAAACTTTTTATAATTAATAATAACATTCTTATTCAGTTTTATAATATGATAGGAAAATTTAAGCATTCACTGTTTTACATTTCTAAACACAAAATTTCAAAACAACAAGGGAAATAAACTACTGTATGCTAAAGTCTCAACAAACACTCATCACACTTTCTCTGGCCTTGAAAGAATTCATAGTAAAGCAGAATAAATAAAGCACATGTTATAGTGCTGAGAGGCAGTCAAGTGGATTCCACTTAGATCCTGTCACACTAGGTTTCCTGTGAATAGATTGATATCTCTAGGAATCTACTGCTATTCTTCTGATAGCTTTGGAATTTAACAAAGCCAGAGGCATTGCATCAAAAGAAATGACAGTCACCTTGAAAACACTGCTATAAACAAGAAAAAAAGAAAGACTTGAAACTTTCAGAGAAGTGCAATACTTATCTTTAAGGAAATTTAACAGCCACTTGTCAAATCCACTTGTCAAAATATCTCCCATTATCTTTCATTGCCAATGAAATGATCTTTTTTAACAGTTATAAGTCTCACCACTGTGTACCTGTAACCTCTTCCCACCTCACCTTGCCTTAGAAGTACATGCAGCCCACCAAAAAATACTTAACCAATGTTTAACATTTTCTTCTGCTACTTTTGCTAAATTTATGACATGTTCTTTCAAAGTAGAAGATCTGCTTGTTTTCTTAAAACATTTTCATTTATTGGTCGCAAAGTATTTTTATGTGAGTTAGTCTTCAGTCAGAATACAGACATTTCAGAAACTGATTGTCTTCATTGAATAATTTTGCACATAACTTCAAAAGTGTGTGTAAAACCCAAAAGAGAGAATTGCAAGCCTCATCCAGTGTAGTACTAGCCTATTATCATAACTAAATATTGATTTTGTATATTAATTAATGTAACAATGATTATGGTTGTACAACTGGTATAAGCATCAGTAGTCTAAATATAGTTAATTTTAAGTAACATTTTCATTTGTCCATGGCCTCATCTTTTTAAGACTGTAGCTTAGGTTACTAAGGCTGAACTAATTTTTATAGCTGAGCCAAGTCTCAGTTTTCATAGATAGACGGTCTTCAAAATCATGGATAGCCTACCATCCAGTGTTTACCACTTTGCAAGTATTAGTGTCACAGTCACCCACAAACTTATTTTTTCAGGATGAAGCATTGGTTCTCATCTGATAACAATGCATGATGTTAGGATTGGGAGCCACAGAAATGCAGACTCAAACAACTGTGTTCTGAATCAAGCCTTCAGTTCTTTCTATCAGTAAAAAACAAAAATTATTTTTCCTTCAAGAGTTATAATTTATCTAAATGTTTATTTGCACAAAAGTTCTCCAAGTTTCTATTTTCATGCAAATGATTACTGTCATTGGTGCTCATAAATAAAGGTTAATCTATCTTAAAAATTGTAGAGTTAAAACTTGCTTCATGTTTAGATTTACAAAGGAGTTTTTATGATATCTGTCTTTCAACAGCTTAATGAATGAAGTGGTTCATACTTCTCCAACCATAGGAAGCAATGTTGAAGAAATAGTTGTGAAAAATACTCATTTTCTTATGTGGGATATTGGTGGTCAGGAGTCACTGCGGTCATCCTGGAACACATATTACTCAAACACAGAGGTATGCTAAGAACACTTTTGAATTTTAATAAAAAGAACCAAAGAGCAAATGCAGAAATAGGTATGCTATACAAAAGACATATTAACAGTTGCTTTTCAGTAAGATCCTTTTTTGTAAGGAAGTCAAATAAAAGAAAAAAGGCAAATAAAAAAAGTATTAGGATCAGTTATTACTGCAGTGTTTACTGTTGGCCAAGCTCGCAGTTTATCCTCACTATACTATCTCCAAGCATGGAGAAACTTGACACAGGAGAAATTACATTATGTTTTCTTAGAGCTCACAACTTGCTAAAGCTCTGATTAGAGGGAAATAACATACTTTAAGAATAATTTAATAAAAGCTTTTCGAATAACATGAGTTCAACATTCAAAATTGTGATGAGATTTTATTTTATTTTTTAAAAAATTGATTTGCAGACCATCTCCTGGAAGGCATTGTCATTTATTATTTGTTAGTTCAGAGCCAGCCTGAACAAACAAATCTGGAATATCTTCTATTTCTGCTTTTATTTCTCTTCCAAGACCATGCAATGCTGTTGAGAGAGGTTTATCTTTGAGAATATTAGAGTGCTTTTGGCATCCATGTAATTTTTCTTTACAAAGAGGTGCACTTCACCAGTTACTTTCTCTAAAATGAAACCTTTTAAAAATTTGAGTTGGGGGAAAGCAAGGGAGGAGGAATATAACAAAAGGAATTTTTGCTAAACACAGTTTCCTATTTAATTATAAAAACCGTGTATTCTTCTAGATTTAGACTAATAGCGTATGAATATGTTTTAAGATTTATTTTAATTATTTGAAAGGCAGAGTGGCACAGAGGAAGGTGGGTGGTGGGTCTTCCATCCATAGTTCACTCTCCATTTGACCAAAATGGTTGGAGCTGAGCCTGGCCAAACAAATCTAGGAGCCTGAAACTCCATCCATGTCTCCCACATGGTTGTCAGGGCCCAGGTTGTTGGGTTATCTTCTGTTGCTTTCCCAAGTACATTATTAATACGGAGCTGAATTGGATATGGAGCAGCCAGCACTCAAACCAGTGCTCCTATATGGGATGCCAGCTTTGCACAGGAGTTAACTCTGTGCCTTAACCTGCTGTACTGCAATGCCAGTTCCTTTGTGTAATGTGTAAATAGTAAACAGGATGGTACAGCATAGATATTTAGCACTTGTGGTTATTTTATTTAAGAAGGCAGGCAGAAAATTGGTTTTAGCATAGCTTAATATACATTTATACATTAAACTAATATTCTGAATCAAGAATATGTTAGAAAATAAGGGAAGAACAGCATTTCACCATGTGATTCCAGATGTGAAAATAGCAATTATCTGTGGTAAATAGGTTCAAGTTCATTATAGATGGTCCATGTGTACTTAAGGCATTTTAAAAGTATAGTGTTCGAGGAGCCAGTGTTGTGGCGTAGTAGGCTAGGCCTCCTCCAGCATCCCATATTGGCACCAGCTTGAAGTCTGGCTGCTCCTCTTCTGATCAGCTCTCTGCTTACGGCCTGGGAAAGCAGTGGAAGATGGCCCAGGTGCTTCGGTTCCTGTACCTATGTGGGAGACCCAGAAGAAGCTCCTGGCTCCTGACTTTGGATCAGCCCAACTCCGGCCATTATGGCCATTTGGAGAGTGAAACAACGAATGGAAGATTTCTCTCTGCCTCTGCCTCTCTCTCTCTATAACTCTACCTTTCAAATAAATAAATAAGTCTTGGGAAAAAAAAAAAAACAAAAAACAGAAAATGGTGAAAAGCTTAGATGACTTCACATGGGTTCAGAAAGAGATGTGTTATTGCTGATTCCTTTTTGTATGAAATGTTCTTTCAATAAACTATTTCTACAAGAATATCAAACTTACTACAGATAACAAAGACCTTTACTGAGGCACGCCAGCATAGCACATAGCATTTGCAATTGCAGGTCCCAAGTAGAGATCTTTTCTCTGTGTTTCGGTAATCACTTTGTTCTTCGTTGTCATCTTGCTTTTTGAGAATTTTTTACATTCGGGAGTCAGTCATCCTGAAAAGCTACAATTCTGCATTATAATGCACAGAATTACAGGTGCTGACCATTTCCTGACTCCTTCCTTTCCTTGTCCGCCAAATACTATTCCATACTTTGTCTGTTCTGACTTTGCTGTATTTCTTTCTCTTTTTCTTTTTATCCCTTTCTATGCCTGTCTCTGTTTACATTCAAATTACTCTTGTTGTCCCTCCCTAATTTTAAAGTCATCTCTATAGCCTGATTCTACTCTGTCTCAATTTATTTTGCATCATTCCCCTACGGCATATAATCTTTAGCACCACTTAATCTAATTTCTTATTCTTCTGCAAAATATGCTCAATTTAGGGGACTTTTCTCACTATGCTTTTTTTTTAGTTTTGCTTATCAAAATTGCCTTTATTTAGTCACTTGAAGTTGCTTGAATTTTTAGTGTCCTTTTTCTACCTTCTTTTCTTCCATGTACACCTTAACCAACAGATTTCTCCACTACTCCTAGCTCTCGTCTTTCATTTTACCTGTATGTTCCTTTAGCATATTAATGCCCAACTATATAATTTTAACACATTTTTTTCTAGAGCTTTTGCTGTTGATTTTTTTTAAGGTACCTTATTTAGGGCATTCTGGTATAGTAGGTAAAACCCCTGCCTTTAGCACCAGCATCTCACTTGGATGCTGGTCATGTCCTGGCTGCTCCATTTCCAGTCCAGCTCCCTAATGGCCTGGGAAAAGCAACAGAGAATGGCTCAAGTACTTGGGCCCCTGCCATCCATGTAGGAGTCCTAGATGAAGCTCCTGGCTCCTGGCTTTGGCCTGGCCCTGGGTTGGCCATTGTAACCATCTGGGGAGTGAAACAGCAGATGGAAGATCTCTCTCGGTTTCTCTCCCTCTCTCTCTGTAACTCTGACTTTCAAATAAATAAATTTTTATTTTTAAGATGTGTTATTCATTAGCTTTTAAAAATGTGTCTATCTTTCAGACTAACTTTCTAATAGGTCAAAGACTGTCTTAAACATAAATAACTAAACAATTATTGATTGCTTAAATGAAAGATTAAGTAGAGTACTTTAAAGACAGTGAAACTGTCTTGGACATGGTATTTGTTTATTAAAGTTATGAATTACTGTTTTCTTACTATAAATATTTGGGTTTTACTGCTTGATGTGAGTCAGTAATAGTACAATCTTTATGATAAAATAGCAGTTCATGTTTTATAGTAATGATAATATAAAGAAAGTATGTATGTCACTTGGGTAGAACTGCAAAAGACTTTCCAACATCTTGTTCTCTTTTTTTTGTTTGTTTTTGTCTTCTAGTTCATCATTCTTGTAGTTGATAGCATTGACAGGGAACGACTAGCTATTACAAAAGAAGAATTATACAGAATGTTGGCTCATGAGGTAAATTTTGAAAGCAAATCTTAGTAAAGTATCTGTGCAGTGGTTTTCCTTTTTTACAAAGATTGATGTGATGTTGGCTTTTTCATCATTAGCAAAACTTGATGTGTGAGTATTAAATTAGAAGTCTCACAGACAGAATTTTTCATTACTTTGTCAAACTTAAAACATTAATTTGTAAACCACTACTGTTACTGCAAAGATTTTTCAAAGTTAAAACCATTTATGCATGCCTTAATTTCTATAAATGGAGTAAGAAAAAGGAAAATTCTGTCTTCCCCCCAGAGTTTATGATTAAAAGTCTTTTAATGAATAATTTGAGTATATGGAAAATCTAACCCAATAAAAACACGTTCATGCACTCATCATTTAACATAAGACACCAGATACAAGACCTCTCCAATCTGATTTTTTCTCCTTTTTTTCTCAGAAGTAGCTAGTATCCTTAAAGTGGTTATTATTGTTGCTAATCTTATTATAATTTTACTACATTTTTGTGTATCTAAGTTGTACATACTGTATTCCATGTTCTTGAACTACTATATAATGGTATCATAATGTGCATTTTTTCCATAACTTGCTTTTGTTCATACAACGTTATGATTTATATATGTTAATACAGCTTTAGTTCATTCCTTTTAACTGTAATATTCTGTATGAATATACCACATTTGGTCTTTTCTATTAATGACCACAAAGTTTATTTCTAACATTTGGATAATATTAAAAATGCAACAGCAAACATTAATCCAGGAGCCTAAGTTTATATAAATACTAGTAAATAGTAAATATTGCCCAGCTCTCACATCTACTATAATAGTTTACATTTTGGAGAAACTATAGTATTTGATAACATACTATCATATGTTCCCATTAGAATATTGCTTGTATAGTTTGCAGTTAATATTTAGGTTTCAGGTTTATTTTCTTTTTAGTGTGACCCTTTTGGCCAAGAATTAGTAATATAATTATCTAGTTTAAATTAAATCCTTGTTGGAATGAATCGTTAAATCAAGGTTATGTGAGATTATTTTCTAACTGTCCAACAGAATAGATTTTGTCCTTCTGTTTCATCAGTTTATTTTGACTTGTGATATTTTATTTACTAGGAATATTTTGTTAATTGCAGGATTTAAGGAAGGCTGCAGTTCTTATCTTTGCAAATAAACAGGATATGAAAGGGTGTATGACAGCAGCTGAAATCTCTAAATACCTCACCCTTAGTTCAATTAAGGATCATCCATGGCACATTCAGTCCTGCTGTGCTTTAACGGGAGAAGGGTAAGTGTTGATCAGTCTGAGGGGAATTGCGGCTTCTTTCAGATTTCTTCTAGTTTTTTTATATGCTAATGTGTTGTTTTCTTCTTGGCTCCTATCTGTTTTGTTGTTGCTATTCTTAAAGATATGTTGTGTGTTGTGTTTTAGGATTACAAGGTGGAAATTACTTTTTTTTTTCCCAAAGATTTATTTATTTATTTGAAAGAGTTACACAGAGAGAGGAGAGGCAGAGAGTGAGCGAGCGAGAGTAGTCTTCTATCTGATGGTTCACTCCCCAATTGGCCGCAAGAGCCGGAGCTGCGCCAATCTGAAGCATTTATTTGAAAGGCAGAGAGAAAGAGAGAGAGAGAGAGAGAGACAGAGAGAGATCTCCCATCTGCTGATTCATTGCTTGGCCAGGGCTGGTCCAGGACAAAGCTAGGATCCAGAAACACAATCTGGGTTTTGCTTGTAGGTGGCAGGAACCCAGCTATGTAAGCCATCTCCTGCTGCCTCTCAGGTGCACATTAACAGCAAGCTAGACTGGAGGGTGGAGCCAGAACTTGAGCCAAGGCATTCCAATATGGGATGCAGGTATCCCTGGTGGCATATTAACCAGTGTGCCAAACACCCCCGCCCCCGACACCCCCGCCCTTTCTGAAATAATTTAATGTAAGTGTAACGCTTTGCTTTAAAAATATCACAATAAGGGGCTGGTGCTATGGCGCAGTATGTGTGTAAAACTGCTGCCTGCAGTGTTGGCATCCCATATGTGCAGCGGTTTGATTCTTGGGGGCTCCACTTCCAAATCAGCACCCTGCTGATGTGCCTGAGAGAGAAGCAGAAGATGGCCTAAGTACATGGGTGCCTGCACCCTTGTGGGAGACTCAAATGAAGTTCCTGGCTCTCGGCTTCTGATCAGCCCAGCTCCAGCCTTTGTGGTCATTTGGGGAATAAACCAGGGATGCAGATGGAAGATCTCTCTCTCTGTCTCTGTAATTCTGCCTTTCAAATAAATCAATCAGTCTTTAAAAAGCAGAATACCATAATAAACTTTTGAATTCAGTTTTCACAATCTTGTGTTTGTTGTTACTTTTATCGTTTACTAACTGAAAGATAACTAATGTCAACTGAATTAACAAAGAAGCTTTAAAGAAATCTCATATTTTCAACAAAAAAAAACTTAGACCTTAAACTCCCAGCTTTCCACAAGAGTAGATCTCCTTCATTTAGGAGTCCTTTTGAGATGCATACTCCTATATAATAAATATTTGAGACAATTCTCATTATAACATTATAACATACTCTTCCTTTCCTAAGAATTTCAGTGTACATACGAGGACAAGGAGAACCCAAGTGTTGTTTACCTTATATTACCTGGTCTATAGCCAAGAACTTACTTATACTCAAATCAGCATTGTTAGTTTTTGTCATATTAAAAATAGCTTGTTGGGGTCTGGTGTTCTGACACTACTGATTAAGCCACTACTTGAGATGCCAGTATCCAGTTCAAGTCCAGAGTGCCCCTCTTCTGATCCAGCTTCCTGCCAATATTCCTTGGATGGTAGCTCCATGTGAAGGACCCAGATTAAGTTCCTGGTTCTTGGCTTCAATCTAGGCCAGCCCTAGCTGTTGCAGGCATTTGGAGAGTGAGCCAGTGGATGAAAGATCTCAGTCTCTCGCTCTCCCTGACTTATAAATAAATCAATCAATCTTAAAAAAAAAGTTTGCAACATAATAGCTATGTGTAGATCTTTGCCCTTTTTTTTTTTTTCAATTTGACAGGTAGAATTATAGACAGTGAAAGAGAGAGAGACAGAGAGAAAGGTCTTCCTTCCATTGGTTCACTCCCCAAATGGCTGCTATGGCTGGCGCTGCGCCGATCCGAAGCCAGGAGCCAGGTGCTTCCTTCTGATCTCCCATGTGGGTGCCAGGGCCCAAGCACTTGGGCCATCCTCCACTGCCCTCCATGGCCAAGTAGAGAGCTGGAGTGGAAGAGGAGCAACTGGGACTAGAACCTGACGCCCATATGGGATGCCAGCACCGCAGGCGGAGGATTAACCAAGTGAGCCACGGCGCTGGCCCCTTGCCCAGTTTTTAGGACTGTGCTGTTGTGGCTTTTTGGGGAGTGAACTAGGGGATGGAAGACTTCTCTCTCTCTGCCTATGCCTATGCCTCTCTATAGCTCTACCTTTCAAATAAATAAATCAATTTAAAAAAAAAAATAAAGACTGGGCTGTAAGCATTCCATTCTTTAGAATGTAGAGGGTAAGGTGAAATTTCTACCGTCTTTTCTCTGTTGGCTTCAATTTTGGTTCATTTTGAAGGTTTGGGACTGGCAGGGCTTAGTATTTACAGTCTTCAAAATAACACTGAAAAAATTTGTATTACTTGGCTGATTAAGATCATTTTGTTTAAGTGAACCTTCCATTTTACATATTATAGTTTTAATTTAATGTTGTCACTGAAGTATATAAATAGTGATTATAGTGTCAACCTTTGGTTGATAGTAAGTGTACTTTCAGTTTTTAAGCATTAAGTTTTTAATTTTGAACATTTTTCTGCTTTTGTTTAAGATTATGCCAAGGTCTGGAGTGGATGACTTCCCGGATTGGTGTGAGATAACTTTTCTGCTTCAAAGAGACTCCTCTATTTATTCTGTGACATGAACATTTTTTCCTAGTACCTTTGGCTGCTAAGGCAGCAGCATGTTTAATTTATAACAACACAAACCTCTATGAGCAACACTTGAATCAAGTGCAGCTGAACTGGAACATAAAAGATTTTTTTCTTAACTTTTTTTTAAATGCACTAATATTCAGTTTGATGAACATAATGTATTACTCTGTTTTCTGCGACAGAATTCTTCTGACTGCTTATTCTAATTACTCAATGACTGCCTTGTAAGAAATATTTGTCATATGTTTAACATTTTCTTAAGTATTGTTATAACTTTAATTACCAATTTATTTAAATTCTTGACCACCATTCCCTCCTAACCAGATAATTACTGGTTTCACAGAGTAGTAGTAGGAATCATCAGGTACCACTTGCAAATTGCTCCAGCACTAATTATTTGCTCACTCTATAAACCATTCATCTTTTGGATAGAATTTATTATAAGAAATCTGCCTAGAAGCTATATGTAAGGAAGATTAAACATTATGAGTACTTGCCTTCAAATTTCCCCATTATTGGAAGTCATGAAATAATTTTAAGTTGCTATTAGCCTGCAAATTAAGTAGGCTGTTTTTAGATCTAAAGGAATGAAGTTCACTTTTTTGCTTACAACATTTGGTCAAAAACAAATCAAAGTAACATTTATTTGAAAGCCCACCTTTGATGGTAAATATTGGATAAATCTGATATTTTCAGGTCACATTATTCAATGCATATATAATTACCAGAAGTTATTAAAGAATACCAGCAGTAAAATGAAAATATTAGAGTATATTTTACTATCAATTTACAAATAACTTTATTATCAGCAAATATTTCAGTCCTTTTATTTGCACAAGACATCGCATCTGATTTGGGCCATAACTAAAGTAGAAGCATGAACAGTCCATTTTATTAAAAATGAAAGAAGTATCTGTCATAGCATTTCTGCCACCAGCAGTATATTACTTAAACCATGCAATTTTCTGATACCTACTTGAGGGTATTGTCCTTGCCATAGACTTGAAACAGTTGCCATCTTCGTAGTTAGGCCTGAGTGCTCAAAATTTTATAGAAAATTGCTGAGTTTCATCTTAGCTTTTAAAATATGAGACAGCTAATATTCTCAAAAACTTACAAATTAAGAAACAATTAAAATTAAAGTCCTAATCTTCAAAAGTTTATTTATTGGATAGCAATAAGTTTTCAAGGCAGTTGACTGATATGAAAAATAATCTAAATGGTGTATACCTTCATAAGAGGGAAGATAACTATTGCAATTTCAATTCTGTTTATTTAAATTGTGTGATTTTGCTGTAATGAAAGGGGTAAAATGCACACTTTAAGAAAATACTTCATCTTGCAGTATTCCTTAGAATCAAAAATGGAGATTCAGTGTTCATAATATCAAAATACCTGTTCAAATGTGGTATTTTTTCAATTTTTATGTGTAAGTTGATTTCAATTTTGCTTTTTTCAGGTTACTTATTATCATATTTAGTTGAATTTGTTTAGTTGAATGTGATAACATTTTTCTGGTTTCTATTTAGTGATAGCACATGAAAAATTACCAGAGGAAAGCTTTTTGGACTTTGGGAGATACCGTTTTGTTTTGAATGTTTTTCTTAGTTATTCTGTACCAAGTAGATTGTAAGTTTAATTTAGTTTAGTTTTTAATGTAACCCATAATCAAGAATGTAAGAGAAAAGCAGATATAAATCGATATATGGATATATATGTGTGATGGGAAGTGAGGTAGGAATTAAGAAAATACATTTACCTAAAGCACACTTTGCCTGAATTTCTGTTTGGTTATATTGTTTACTGTGAGAACTGAAGAGAATTCTCATAAGCTGTCCTGAAAAAAGCGTATTTAGTATAACAGTGTTTGTTATTGTGAGATAATTATCTGCCTTCTTCTAGCTAATAAGATTGGCTGGCTCAGTTTTCTTCTATCAAATTATATGGTTATTTTTTGTATTACCACATCAGCATTATATTGAAAATGTTTTTTAATAGTTGATTGTATTTTGTCAAACAGCTAGTAACACTCAAATTTGCTATTTAATTTTTACAATACAGTTTATTTTGAAAGTTTTTTTGAACATGCTGTTAGTTTTGGATTTGAGTGCTTTGTGTCAGCCATTTGTTGAAAGTAAAATTGGCATCCAGGTCAATTTTGTACCAATGGTTGGGAAACATTTGATTAGGAAATTAATGTAAAACATTTAAAAAGTATTTTATAGGTTTTCATTACCGATTTCCTGTTACAGTAATAAGAAAACTGACTCAATTCTTTACTCCAAGAGAATGTTTTAACCTAAGCAAGTATCTAATACTAAAACACTGATTCTGACATTCATTGTAAATCAACCAATTATAAGATATCATCTGGTGAAAAAGAGAAATTTATGATTAGTGCCTTTATTCATATTTTGAGAGAAGTTCTAAATTCTGTATCTGTTATTCAGAAGTCATATTAACTAGGTCAACAATGGGATAATTTGAGTTTCAGCTGCTGCTTTTAGCTCCTCATACTGCCTAGCACAGCTTCTGGTAAGTTGGAAAGCAAGGGAACCAGACACATGATTTGCCGATTATTCTACATTTTAGTTTCAATTTGAGGATAAAGAAATTAAATGTTAATTGAAATCTTATCAATATAACTGAAATGTAAAATTTCCTTTGCAAGTTCATATATGGCATTTTCTTGACTTTGAACTTAGTGTGCTCATCAGCAGCTCTAACTCCTTTGTTCTTATTGGAGCCCATTTGAGAACTCTCAGAATTAACAGGCCCTTTTATCAATGAATATAATGACTATTTTTATTATTAATGTAATTTAATTCCTGAAAACCTGAAACATTAATATATATATATATTGAAAACTAAAGATTATATGTAATTTTTGCTTTTAGGCTCTTGTGTTAGTATGATTAAAGGTATAATTATTTTTATTCTATATTCATTAGAGAAAAAATACTAAATTTATATCATTGTTTGAAATAACTTTTAAATGGGCACCACCCCTCTGGCTGTAGTCATTTTTGATTCAGCATAATTTAACTTTCATTTTCTATAGCATAAAAAGAAAATAATTGTTTCCTCATGGAAACGGTGGGTGATACTGGCAGTACTACAAGCAGTATTCTCTGAAGAGTTGTGAGAGTCAAAAACAAAAAAAAAATTTGAAGAAAACAATAAAAGCTTTTTATAAGGTCTTTTTGGTGTAGTATGTTAAGATAAATTATACACAGAATTGCTTGTGAAGAGCAGTCATTAATACTTAATTGTGTAAAACAATATTATTGGAAAAACCTGCTATTATGCCGGTAGGTGCATAAATTTCACGGGTATTTATCTAGGACTGACTTTATGAGTCTTAGCTTCATCTATGGATTTGGATCAAAAAACTTCCACATCTAATTCAATCCCAAAAGAACTTTTACTTTTTGTCAGGGTAAAGACACTTCAAGAGTCAGCATTGTTGCTTCTTATTTGGTTGGATATTGTGCTTGAATCTTAATTTGGCCATTTATCATCTGTCTAGCTGACCTAATACAATTCTACATGGCCTTTCTTTTATTTTATTTTTTTTTTCCAAACTCAGGAAGTTAAACAAACTAGAGATCTAACAAGTCTTTTGGTTTTAAAATTCTAAATCCTTAGATGTGACTATCAAAATTTTAAAACCCTGGAATAGTAGGGAAATGTACATAATATGAAATGAAACTCATTTTTATCTTCTATTTGATACCCACTACCATTATCATTTTATTTTCTATATATATATAATCAAAAAGCAAAAATGGTTTCAATTATTAACTGCTGCACAACTTAAGGTGAACTAATAGCTAAAGACAATGCCAAAGCAAAGATAAGCCATATTGCTAAGAAACTGCAAGTAAACTGCCTGTAAGACTTCAGTGTATACTGAGAATACTCTATTGTAGAGAATTTATCTTGTTTATTTTTCTGGCTTTAATAAGTGGATGGAAATAGTTTGTTCAGAGGCTGTTCCCTTAAGATGCAGCCCCAAGCTAGAGTTGTGTTTGACTTACCAATATTGAAAAGACCATGTTGCCAGAATGTCAATATTGTACAAATGTCTGCATAAATCTGAAAGTGGTTTATATTCAAAGTTAGTTTTCCAGTCATGTCTCATGCATATTTAATTGTGAGGACTATTATCAAAAAGCCAGGTTCCCCAAAAAATATATTTTATTCTTAGTAACTAATGTTAGCAGAAAAAGTCAATATAAAAATGTGTTCAGCTACATTTTTAAAGTAGGAATATGGTAGGGTTCAGCTGGCCTAAAATCAGCTTTAAAGTCTGTGGTTTGGTGAAATGTTTGAAAAATGTTACTTTGGAGGTTTAGCATCAAACCTTAAAAACAAAAGCATTTGAAAGTAAAGGCAAAGATGGAGTAGAAATTCTTCAAAAGGAGATTAAGGGGCAGTTGTTTGGCCTGGCAGTTAAGAGACTGACCTCCCACATTAGGGTGCCTGGGTTTGATACCTGTCTGATTGCAGCTTCCTGCTAATGCAAACCCTGGGAGGCAGCTGTGATACCTCAGGTAATTGGGACCCAGCCACCCAGGTGGAATACATGGAGTGAGTTCTCAGCTCTCAGCTCTCAGGTTTGGCCCCAGTGAGGGGCCATTGAGAGTGTTTGGGGAGTGAATTTGCCATTGGGAGCTTACGTGCTGTCTTTCTGCCTCTCGAATAAATATAAACAAGGCAACAACACCACCAAAAAAACATTTAAGGCAGTTAAAGTTAATAGAAAGTGCTAGTATTAGATGGCTTATATGATGTGGCAAAAAAATTGAAAACTGTTTAGAATTTTAGTATTCAGGACCATGATCATGTAGAAGCATCTTTGGCATTTTTTAAAAACCAGTAATCTATATTTTCTCTTGGAGATGGAGAAATAACAAAATGGGCTGTGCATAGCTTTTGGAATTAAAAAAAAAAAGGTCTAAAAGGACATATTCTTTTTGCACAAACTTTGAAATTTTCAATTAAAAAGTTACCTCATTTTTCAGTTCATAAGGTGCTTTGCTAAAATTTGTGGAATGTTGTACAATGCCATAAATGCTCCCCTGACCCAGCCTGTATTTTGAAATATGCAAAACCATAACTAAGGGATAACATTCATTAGAAAATTTGTTAGGTTTTGTTTCATTCTTGTTTACCACCAGCAAGGCTAACATGCTTTATCTGATTCACATATAGTTGTCGGTAAAGCACATGGGCAAATGTTGAGTCAATATTTAATTAGTAAATTAAAATGGGAAACCCTTCAATTTGTTTGATTATATTATACTGTGAATATATTGCCTTCGGTATTGGTAATCTATCAAAAGACTTTCAGTGTAGGATTTATTTCCTTGTTTTAGCCTTATTCATAGAAGACTAATAATCATTGTAATCATATTTCCCTCAGGAGATGTAGAGGCTTTGAAGCCCTTGTGTTGTTCTCTTGGAGTAAACTGTTCAGTGTGATTATGGAAACTTTCAACGTGATTTTAAAAAAATTTCTATTTCAGTGAAAATTAATAAAATGATGGTTATGATTTTTTCCTATTAAAGACTGATTATAAATTTTACTCTGTCTATTCCATAGAGCTTGGTTTAAAAAATAGAAACAGTAAACACTGAAAGCAGTTACGCCCTTGCTCTTGGATTTATTCTCATCAGAGAATAATGACTGTAATCATACATTGGCTTCTTAGTACAAATTGGTGCTTTACAGCAATACAGTGGCAGCAGCAGGCCCTGTATTCAGTAAAGTTCCAGTCTCAGACTGTAAACCTACTTTAAAATGTTTATATTCTTATTCATGTTCATTTCTTAAGACTTTAATATAAATGGTTGGGTTATCTATCTGTCTACCTTCAGGCTTTCTGCCTGCAAAGCACTCTGAAACTATCTGAGCTAATGAGCTTGGCCAAATAGAAGACAGAATTAGATCACAATTATGAATTGGATTTCTATGACCTTCTAGTATTGAAGAGGAAAGAAAAATGTCACCAGAAACTGCTTCTGAACCCCAATCAAGCAACCGACATATGTACTGTTGGTTTGATATAACAGAGAATTTAAAAGCAAGCAAATTAATTCTTTCACTTCATCACTTCTTGAAATTTATTTAAAGCATGTTCTTCTAATAGTAGGTCTGTTTAAAGACATATCTTAACATCTTATAAGATTTCAGTACTGTCAGGAAATGATTATTTTATATGTTAAATTTAGGTTGCTGGTACTGAGGTTTTTTATTTCTTATGTTATAATGAGTTGCTTGCATGACTACTTACCCAAGTAAAAAGGATGCTCTTTGCTCTGGAATGTTTATTTTTTAGACAGGTTTTGGCTTATTTGCAATCATGGTGCAATATAGTAACATTCATTTGTTGTCAGTCAACAGTTTTATTTTTGTCATAATAAATTACTTTTCCAGTATGAAGTGAACCAAGTGTTTTCTTTTAAAGGTAAAATATCTTTGACAGTCTTTTGGTTCAAAGAGATGGAAACTCACCTAAGGTAACAAAGAACAGGAAATTTTATTGCAAGGATGAGGTGGTGGGGGCTCCTTGCACCCAAGGTCAGTAATACAGCTGATCCTAGAACAGGTGGAGCAGAGACTAATGCTGAGGAGTAACAAAAGTTACTTTTCTCCTAACCAGACTGAGTTGTTCTGTTCCCACATGGCAGATAATTCTCACATTGAATAGCTCCTAAACTGTACAAGGAAGATGTCAGATTATTGGTACAGTCTTGGTTACAGTTTCACATTCCCCAGAGCAATTATTCATTAGTCTGCATTGAGTGAGCTCCTCCTCATGATCCAAAGAGCTGGCCGTGTGGAAGATGCATTTATCAAATGGGAATCCCTGAAGAATAGAAATGCAATCCAAAAGGATAAGTACTCTGTTGGGGGATATAACTGGAATCATCTACACATTATGTCTACTATATCGTGTTTTCCTAAAATGTCGAGGTGCAATTTAAAAATAAGAAACCCTTGGAATGAAGTGGCTGGATCATATGGTAAATGTATATTGAACTTCTTGGACAAGAAACTTGGGGGCCAGCACTGTGGCACAGCAGGTTAAAGCTCCAGCCTGTAGCTTCAGCATCCCATATGGACTCTGGTTCAAGTCCCAGCTGCTCCACTTTGGATCCAGCTCCCTGCTAATGCACCTGAGAAAGCAGTGGAAGATGGCCCAAGTCCTTGAGCCCCTGCAACCATGTGGGAGACCAGGAGGAAGATCCTGGCCCCTGGCTTTGGATCTGCACAACTACAGCCTTGGAGCCATCTGGGGACTGAACCAGCGGCTAGAAGACCTTTCTCTCTCTCTGCCTCTCTGTAACTATGCCTTTCAAAAAAATAAATACATCTTTAAAAAAGAAAGCATAGTTATCATTTTGCCATATTTCCAAGTTTTGGGTAAATTTTTTAAAGCAAACTGGATGGTGGAGTATGGAGGGAGCTTACTGCTCTAGTCTAGGAGAGATAGTGTAAAAAAAAAAAGCAGAGTGTGCAGTCTCAGGGAAGAGTTAGGGAGAAAATGGCAGAGGAAACTCTATAAACCAGAGGGACACAATGGACCTACATAGAAGGCATGGATGCCCACAACTCAGGACCCTAGCAGCCCAGAACCCCCACACCAGCGTTGGAGAGTGAGGTTAGACCAGACTGCAGCAGCCCAAGCCACTGGTGATAAAGCTGCAGGAAAAACATAGAAGGAATCCAGATTGGAGCCTCGTAGGGGATAATGTACCTGCCAAACTAAAGGAGAAAAAAAAAGGAAGGGCACATTTCTGTCTCCCCGATCACCCTGCAATGGCATCCTGTAACAAGCCAATAGAAGTGGGCACCACTTTGGACATACAGAACATCTGTGCCAACTCGTGTCCACACCCAGCAACCACCACAGATTCTTGAGTCTGGTGGGGAGAACTGACAGGGTGCTCATGACTGTGGGAGTTTTGTGTGCTGGGACTGTGAAAAAACAGGCTGTGTGGGAGAGCTCACGTAGTGGCTGGGACTTGGGGCAGTCATTGTGGAACACTCCACATGATCAAGGATCCCTGGTTACCTACTGAGGGACATTACTGGGGAATCAGCTCACACTGAAGACTGCACAGATCCTTTGTGTGGTCCTTGGGACAAAGCAGATGAATATTATACCCACTGGAGATAGTGCTTAGGCACTGGTCTCCTTTGAGGAGAGGGGCTCACCCTCAACTCTGATTTTAAAAAAAGATTTACCATGCCAAATCTGGGTATGTCACTTTAGACATACCCTTCACCCTGCAGAACTGAACAGAGCCTGGCCACACCCACCACACACCTGTAGGTATTCACCTAAAGCAGACGCTCCACTAATCTATAGAGGAATAGTACAAAGATAAAAGTCACCACAGTGAAAAAAATCAAGAAACCAACGAGTATCTTCACAAAAGAGACAACATGACGCCCCCAAAAGAATATAAAACTACAATATTAGATTGTGAAGATGATGAGACTGAGGAAATGCTCAAATGGAATTCAAAAAATTGATCATAAAATTGCACAAAAGTAATCAGAAGCAAATGCATGAACTAATGAAATCCATAAATGACACTGGATTGTTACTGGAGAATGGTAGGGTTCTTGTCTTTGCGCAAGAAAGAATTCAGGCGTGAGACAGAGAGTAGTGGAAAAGTAAAATAGCAAAGTTTATTAGGGAAGGGGCATCCGTAAGAACAGATGGACACCTTTCCAGACAGGACCTGAGAGAGAGTGCTCAGTCGCTCAGACTTGGGGGAGGAGCGAGGTTACATGGTTGAGAGATTACACCTGGGTAGGCAGGCGGGTGACTCAGCAGAGAGCAGAAGGCTGAGTGTGCAGTCTGGTTGAGGCCAGGGTTTAAGGAGATGGGTCTTTGTCTTCACACATCTCCCGAAACAAAGGATTTTATGGATGTAAATATTAAGAAGCTCCTATCTGAGCTTTCCCCTGAAGGTATCAGGAGGAAGCCTAGCTGGTGCCCTCCTGAGTTTAGAGGAAGGGTGAGCAAGACCCCCTGGAGAATTAGGATCTGGGGAAGGGTATTTGAAATGCAGATACTGGGCTGCATCTAGAAGGTTGGCATAAGGGGCGGGGACCCCCACCTGGCAGATTATCGGGTAGGAGGGGGCAGGGCAGGATGCAGATACTGGGCTGCCCCTAAAACATTATCCGGATGACTTTGAGATGCAGATGCATATGCTGGACATAGATGTCTTCTCTTTAAGCCTTTGTCACACACAATAAGCTCATATCTGACTTCCTACCTAACAGGATCACTCCTCAAATGGCCGCCACGGCTGGCGCTGTGCCGATCCGCAGCCAGGAGCCAGGTGCTTTCTCCTGGTCTCCCATGCGGGTACAGGAGCCCATCCTCCACTGCCCTCCCTGGCCACAACAGAAAGCTGGGCTGGAAGAGGAGCAACTGGGACTAGAACCCCACACCCATATGGGATGCTGGCACTGCAGGCAGAGGATTAGGCAAGTGAACACGGCACTGGCCTGGCACTGTAATTCTAAGCTACAATTCTGGAATACATTTTTCTAGTGCATTTTAAGTTATTTCCTCAAGATTTATTAAACAGTTAATTATGCTGTCTTAAACAGTTTGAAAGAGGATTTTAAAGGATATTTGAACATTTTAAACATTTCACATCTATCTAAGCCTTCCCACATAGTAGATAATTTTATTAAATTACTAAAAAGAGCCTCATTTTCTTGAATCTTGAATTATAAAACTTTATAGTAAAGTCAACAAATCTAAAATCAATTACCCATTTATGCATCTTAAATTGAAATTACAAACTAATATGTTAAGTTTTTTAACGTGACAAATAGTCATAAATAGGCATAATCCTTCTTAAACCTAATACGAAACCATTATACCATCGGTTTCATTTATTTCATCCTCCATATATCGATTCTTGATTTAAAAGACCCTTCTTTGTGTAAAACACTCTTCCCATTGAATAATTGTGAGGGCCAGCATTGTGGCAAAGCATGTTAAACTGCTGCATACTATGCTGACATCCCATGTAAGTGCTGGTTTGAGTCCTAGCTGCTCCACTTTCATTCCACCTCCCTGCTAATGAACCTGAGAAAGTGGTGGAAGCTGTCCCAGTGGAGTTCTGGGTTTCTGGCTTTGACCTGTTCTAGCTCTGGCCATTGCAGCCATTTGGGGAGTAACCAGCTAATGGAAGCTATTTCTCTCTTTCTCTCTCTGTAACTCTGCCTTTCAAATAAATAAATCAATAAAAAGAAAAAGAAAAAAATTGTATAATCCTAAACAAAGTTGAGTTCCTGCCACAGTGGTCTCTGATTTTTGCGGGGATTTGGAGATGTGCTGTAGTTATCCTAAAGAGTCTTCTGTAATAGAAACCAATAAAGGGGCAGGTGCTGTGACGTAACGGGTTAATGCCCTGGCCTGAAGTGCCGGCATCCCATATGGGTGCTGGTTCAAGACCCGGCTGCTCCACTTCTGATCCAGCTCTCTGCTATGGCCTGGAAAAGCAGTAGAAGATGGCCCAAGTCCTTGGGCCCCTGCACCTGCGTGGGAGACCTGGAAGAAGCTCCTGGCTTTGGATCAGCACAGCTCCGGCCATTGCAGCCAATTGGGGAGTCAACCATCAAATGGAAGATCTCTCTCTCTCTCTCTCTCTCTCTCTCTCTTTCTCTCTACCTCTCCTCTCTGTGTAACTTGACTTTCAAATAAATAAATAAATCTTTAAAAAAAGAAACCAATACAGTGTAAATTTTATAATAAAGAATTAACCTGAAACTGGATTTTATCTTTTCTTTCAATTTAGTCACCTTACTTTCACAGATGACATTGTATAACTCAAAATCTGGATACTGCAGACTTGACAGGAATCATCTGTTGTCTAACTCTATATAAATCACAGCTGGTCAAATTTTGCCCACATATAAGATGGGATTCTTTCTGACAATGGATCCAGTTGTTGTGCCAACAGGTGGGAAGCTAAGTACAGTTGGAGTTGATAAATGGATGAGATGCAAGCCACAGTATTTTATGACTGTTTGACAGGATGAGATAACCAGTTGTCAGAAGTTAGTACTACATCTACCATGTTGGATGTTCTCCATGCCAGGGCCTCAGCTAGGTATTAGATAAACTCTTGTTTTCTACAATGACTTAATGAAGGTAAATGCACTTATGCCTATCTTGTAGTGAAGAAACTGGTAAAGAACCTGCTCAAAGTTACAAGGTGAGTAAGTGGCAGAGCCAGGATTTGAAGCAGGTGTAAGTGAGTCTAGAGCCATTTATGTACTACAGTGAAATAGGTTCCAGGAACTTTAGCTCCAGCTTTGTTGTGGGGATCAAAGGCCCTGCTGGTCTTTGAAAGGCACCTTGCAGGACTTCATCTAGGTTTTAGTGTTCCCCCTTGTA